TATTTGAGAGAGAGAGAGAGAGAGCATGAAAGGGGGGAGGGTCAGAGGGAGAAGCAGACTCCCCGCTGAGCAGGGAGTCCGATGTGGGACTCGATCCAGGGACTCCAGGATCATGACCTGAGCCAAAGGCAGTCACTTAACCAACTGAGCCACCCAGGCGCCCATTACTGCTGTATTTAATACCAATGAACCATACACTAAAAAATAGTTAAGATGGTAAATTTTATGTTGTGCATTTTAGCACAATAAAGAAAGGGAAAAAATTTTGTTTTTATTTTTTAAACGATTTTGTGAGTGTTAATGATGAGATGACAGATGTTAGAATAACAAAAGATATTCAAACAGCCATACAAAGAGGTATTTCTATACACTACAGAAAAATAGAAACCTAAAAAGTATAGAACATTCCTCAGGGCAGCAGGAAAATTAAGAAAGAAATGAAAAATGGAAGAGAACAAACAATACAATGAATAAAATAACAAGCTTAAACCCTAACGTATCAAAAATCACATTAAATATAAATGGTTTGGACATCCCAGTTATAAGGCTGAGCTTAAGAGAAACTACTAATATTATAAGGTATAAAGTAGGTAGGGTGGAAGTAAAGAAATGCAAAAAGATATACAAACATTAAAGGAAAGCACAAGTGGCCAGAGTAATACCATATAGAACACGTTTCAGAGAGAATATGTAACATATATTAAGAGTCAGTCTACCAACAAAACACAGCAATCCCAAATGCATATGCATCAAATAATGTGTACACTACAAAATATGTTAAACAAAACCTGACAGAATTCAAAGGTGGAATAGGGAAATCCATAATTATAAGCAGAGACATCAACACCCGTCTTTAAACAACTGACAGGGGGCGCCTGGGTATCTCAGGTCATGATCTCAGGGTCATGGGATCGAGTCCTGCATTGGGCTCCCTGCTCAGCAGGGAGTCCGCTTCTCCTTCTCCCTCTGCCTGCAGTTCCCCCTGCTTGTGCACACTCTCTATCTGTCAAATGAATAAATAAAATCTTTTAAAAAAATAAACAACTGACAGTACTAGACAGAAAATCAGCAAAATATTGAACTCAACAGAAGACATCAAGGAACAGGATTTAATTGACAATTATAGAACCACTCTACCTATTTGCTTAAGAATACACTTTCTTTTCAAAATAACCACAAAACAACATATACACAATGGACTGTTATTCAGCCATAAAAAAGTGAAACTGTGCCATTTGTAACAACATGGATGGAGCTAGAGTATGTATGCTAAGTAAAATAAGTCTTTCTCAGATAAGTATTATATGATTTCACTCATATGTTGAGGTTAAGAAATACAATGAATGATCATAGGAGAAAAAAAGAGAGGCAAACCAAGAAATAGATTCTTAACTCTAGAGAACACAATGATGGTTATCAGAGGGGAGTTGGGTGAAGGTGTTAAACAGGTGATGGGTATTAAGGAGGATACTTGTTATGATGAGCACCAGGTGTTATATGGAAGTATTGAATCACCATATTATACAATGGAAACTAATAGTAACACTGATTGTAAACTATATTGTAATTAAAATAAAAATTTAATAAAAGATATATATACAACAGGAGAGGCCATTTTCTGGCCCATAAAACATCAACAAATCTGTTGATGGAAATCAGACTAAGTATGTTTCTAGCCCCAGTGGAACCAGACCTAACTATAACTCAGTAACAAAAAGATGACAGAAAAATTTCCTATTATTTGGAAACTAAAAAACACACTTTTATGTTGTTGAAAAGATGTTTAAGACATTAAAAAAATAATCAACTAAATGCAAATAAAATCACGTATTCTGAAGTTTACATAAAATATATGGAATGAATGCATTGGTAAGAGGGAAATATATAGCACTAAATGCACAGATCGAAAACAGGGAAAGCTTAAATGAGTAATTCAAACTATTTTAAAAGTTAAAAAGAGTACTTTTCTTTGCTCTAGAAAAAGAGCAAAGAAAGAGTGAGGCAAAAAGTAGGAAGGAAATACAAACAACAACAGCAAACAATAAAACCTAACAGAATTGAAAACAGAAACACAATAGAAAAAATTAATCAAAGAACTGGTTCTTTTGATAGACCAGTAACCCAAAAAATTTCTAGCAGAGTACACAAGGGAAAAACCAGAATGCACAAATTACCAACATTAAAAATAAAACAGAGATCTCACTATAGACATTATGAAGGATAATAGAGAATACGAAAAACAACTTTACAAACATAACTGAAAAATTGTATGAAATGATCACCCATCACTAAAAAACACAAATTACTACAATTCAGCCAACATAGACAATCTGAATAGAATATAATGACTAGGAAGTTAAATTCATGATTTAAAAACCCCCCAAAACAAAAATCACCAGACCCAGATAGTTTCACTAAAAAATTATACCTAACACTTAAAGAAGTAACAATTAATTTCTTCCAGAAAACTGAGAAAAACACACAAAATTTATTTTATGAAGCAAAATATACCCTGATAAATACAAAAGAAAGAAAACTATAAACCATATATCCCTCATGAATACAATGTAAAATTCTTGAACACAGTATTAGTAAATGAAATTCAGCAACATAAAAAAATACATGATCAAGTGCAGTTTATCCGGGGATGCAACAGTTGAAAATAACTAATGTAACCTATCACCATTAACAGGTAAAGAATAAAAATTGTATACTCACATCAGTGTCAAATAAAACATCTCAAAAAATTCAACTCCGTTCATTTAAAAAAAATCAGAAAATTGGAATGGAGGGGAACTTTCATAACCTGATAAAAGAAAGTTATAAAAAAATACTATTAATACTTAATGGTGAAACCCTAACACAATGATGTCTGCTCTAGCTATTTTTTTTAAGATTTTATTTATTTGTTTGACATAGAGAGACACAGTGAGAGAGAGAACACAAACAGGGGGAGTGGGGGAGGAGAAGCAGGCCTTCCGCAGAGCAGGGAGCCCGATGTGGGGCTCGATCCCAGGACCCTGGCATCAGGACCTGAGCCGAAGGCAG